TTAAGATCATCATGGGAAGTCATTGTCTCCATCCCACCACCCTCACAGGTGCACTTGGTGGGGACAAGGGAGAGGGCCTTCTCTCTCACTGCTCCCAGACTCTGGAATTCCCTCCCTCAAGAGGCCAGGCTGGCCCCAAGCTTTGCTGACCTTCTGCAAGCAGGAGAAGACCTTTCTCTTCAAGCAAGCTTTCTCTCAGTGACTGCCTGCCTGAGTGGGCTTTTTAAATGGACCATTGTACCTTACTGCTTTCAAGATGTTCTGGTGTTGCTTACATTTTTTTAGTATAGGATTCATTTGACTGTTTTCAGTACTGTATTTGTATGCTCAATGCTGTTATCTTTAAATACAATCTTGCAATGATTTAAACTTCCTTCGGTCCTTTTTAAAGAGGAAGGTGAGAAAAGGATATTTTAAATGGATAAATAAAATGGATAAAGAAAGGTTGTTGTTTAGTCGTTAAGTCGTGTATGACTTTTTGTGACCCCATGGACCAGAGCATGCCAGGACCTCCTGTCTTCCACTGCCTCCTGGAGTTTGGTCAAATTCATGTTGGTAGCTTCAATGACTCTGTCCATCCATCTGGTCCTCTGTCGTCCCCTTCTCCTCTTGCCCTCACACTTTCCCAACGTCAGAGTCTTTTCCCGGGAATCTTCTCTTCTCTTTTTCTTTGTAGCATCAGACTTTCCTTTCACTTCCAGGCACGTCCGCAGCTGAGTGTCCTTTTGGCTTCGGCCCAACCAGTTCATTAGCTCTGGGGCTGCTTGTACTTGTCCTCCGCTCTTCTTCAGTAGCATGTTGGATGCCTTCTGACCTGAGGGGGCTCATCTTCCAGCGTCATATGTTTTAGCCTTGTCCATGGAGTTTTCTTGGCAAAGATACTGGAGTGGGTTGCCAATTCCTGCTTCAGGTGGATCACGTTTTGTCCAAACTCTCCACTATGACCTGTCCTTCTTGGGTGTTCCTGCACGGCATAGCCCATAGCTTCTCTGAATTATTCAAACCCCTTTGCCACGACAAGGCAGCAATCTATGAAGGGGAATGCTACTACTTTAGCTCAAATGAACAATGTATGGGTATGCAGAGGCTTGTAAAACTCTCCTAAACCCCCTATCATTCAGAGACAGTCTTCATGCAATCTTTTCTAAGCATCTTTTTCAATAATGATAGTCAGAAATTCTTATTGTTTAACATTATGACAATAAGCTTTGAGGTTTGCAGTTGCACATACACCATCTTTGTTCTCCTCATCCAGCAACTTTTGCTTCTAACTTCAGTTAACCACATTATAGTGTGTCATCCAAATCCTAAACTGGAATTGTTAGTTATGGGTACATCCTTAATGATCCTTAATACTTTTAAGTTGGCTTGTTGCGCACAAACCATAATTTAGAATAACCAGTTTTGTTGTGTTTGTTTGGATGCCATTACAAATTACATTTAGTAAGAGCTTTGAAATTCCTAAGTGTTCATAGGGGAAAAGGAGCAAGAACTACATGAACACAAAGGTTGTTGTAGCTTGTCCCTACATGCTACAATATGGTTTAGTGTAGGGGTACCACATGGACCAGGTACTCCACCACCCCAGTCAAGGTCTGTTTATGGTTTAGCATAATGTCCAAATGTGACCAAAGAAGCATCACAGCAATTAATACCATTAAATACTAGGGATAAAAGAATTCTTGCTTTGATTTGATGTATTACCCAGATCTCTCACAATACTGGGACTCAAAGCAACTCACATGATTGAAAACAGATCTCTATAAAAACACAAGCTCAATACACAACTAAACAAATTTGAAAAGACTATTTAGCTTAAAACCAATATTGAAACATGTGGATTAAAAAAGCCAACATCCTCCCATTAGAACCTCCCTTTTCAGCAGCCAATCATTTGCCCATCCATAGCCACCTTAAATAAAATGATCATTGCCTGCTGGCAGCAACACAACAGGAATGGAACCAGTCTGGCAACAGCCATGGAGAAAACCCAGAATGTTCTCCCTTCTGATAGGTGAATCATTCTGCTATGCATTGTATTGTCTCTAGATTTCAGTTTCTCTAAGAAAATTTTCAACATTAATTCCAGCATTTGAACAAGCCGTTTGTTGTAATGGTAAGTTTCTTCTGTTTATTGGTATCTTCCTCCTTTATAATGTATTGCAATTAACATGATGTATTCACTGATAAAATACTACAAAGCAGTGGTAATCATCTGTAACGTCATCATGTGTACAACCACATTAAAAACAGAGAATATCTGTGGTATTTCCTACAGACTGTTTTAAAACAGTTTTTTACATTAAGTTTTTTAATGTGAATCAGTAACAAAGGGAGGAGAATAAATAAACTGAAAGATACTACAAACTGTACTTGTCCAGTGTTCTGGAAAACGTTGAGAAATCAAAACTGGTGCAATGTAATTTTCCTGACACCTCATTTCCTCTTTAGAAGCAATAACACTTAATTTGGAGTTTCAAAATCTAGGAAGAACTATACGTTAGATATAGTATTTGGAAGCAATTCTCCTAAAAAGTTCATCTGGTCAATGGATCATCTGTCAATGTACTACGATACATATTTTTTGAAAAATATTTCTATCAATGTATCAAAGAAAATGCTTGCCATCCTACCTCATTGTCCAGTTTTGTTTTTGCTTCATCCAACTGTTTTGTTATACTTATAACTTTTTCATGGCCTAGTGCTATTTCCTGTTTAACTGCAACAGAAAATGGACTTTAATCACATGAAAGAAATGGTAGGTGAATAAAATATAACCAGTGGAGGTATAAGTTTGACAAGTGATGCACATCTTGCTGTGGGACACACTTAACTTAAGGGGCACATTTAAATCAATCTGTGGCTATGAATAGCCTCAAAAAATAATTCTTCAGTCTGCCCAGAACCCAACAAGCTGCCCAAAGGTTGAAATAAGGCACTTGATATTAAGAGTAAGAGGTTGGCTACACAGGGGTTCACTATGCTCTGGAAGAGCTGGGATTGCTCTAAAAACATTAACTATGTGATGTTTTTGTTAGATTGCTCCAAACAGTCCCTAGTGATGACCAGTCCATCCCAGAGTCAGAGATATGTTTTAGATGGCAAGGAGGGAAAATTCTTCAAAGCTGGTTCCCTTCAGATCTTAATCCATAGAAGGATTATGTAGTTTATCACTTGGCAACAGCAGAACATTTCTATACTGTAGTATCATTTGTCCATCCTATATTGATTTGTGAAATTCTCTGCAGTTCTACTCCTAGGTCTCACAATGCAGTTAAAATTATTTGTTCTGTATCAGAACATGTCACTCTGTGGAGCTGCAGGTCTGAGAATCTCTTAGCCAGCATGACTGGTGGCCAGGACTACAGTTTGGGAACTGTAGTGTTAAAAAAAAAAAAAACACTTTTCACTCAAGCCAGTTTCCATCCTGCCTGATGATTTAGCTAGTTTGGATATTTTTTAGAAACAGGAGGCCATTGGTTATATATTCTATTACTGTTGCATTTTGGTAGTGAGGTAGCACTTTTAGGCCTCAGGTGCCAAATTAACTCAACCAGCTGTCTGAGGAGAAGAAGGATTTACTGCTCTGCCTCAGGCAGGAAAATACAGCAAGAAAGGCCTGGTCTCATACAACTGTCCTAATTAGTAACTTATACAGCTGAACATCCTACACCAATACTACTCAAGCTTACTCAAAAATAAGTCTCAGCAAGCTTACATAAACAGGCAAGACTTAAACTGCATTTAATTTTCTTTGTTGGACCTAACTCCTTCCCATCTAGTGGCAAACCACTACTCTGGGTAGCTTACAGAAAAACATAGAAGACAAGGCTGAACAGAAAATAATGTTTAAGATAAATAATGACAATAATAAAATAACAAGCCAAGCATCATAAATGTAAATCAATAACACATTTAAAATTGACTGTGAGTGACTCAGTACAGGGCATCACAAATTGTCTTCTTGGATATGTTGAGAAAGATTACTGAGGTTAAAATGGGCAGATTAGAACCCTGCTGGCTCCAAATTACACAGAGATGGCCCCCCACCCTGGTTCATGAAGCGGCGCTTCTCCTCCGCTTTCTGTTCTGTCAGAAGGATTTGTTGAAACAAGGCGTCCAAGCTCATGTTTCTACTCTCTGCCTCTCCTTGGGAGGAAGAAATGGAGGTCAGTCAATCTTTTGTATCTTTCTCTGTTAAGGAATGGCAGGAAGATGATGAGGGCCCAGTTTCAAGGAGGAGGAAATCCTGCCAGCCACCCCATACAGCAGGTCTTCTGACCTTCCTCAGGATACACTTTCCCCTTGTCCCAATTCCTGCTGGTGGGCAAAACTGGGAGAAATATTCTTATGTCAGCCTGGACAAAACCACTTCAGATTAGAGGGAGGGGTTACATGTTAAAATACTCTCTCTAAATTAACACATATCCTGCTGGTATATGAGGGAGAACTATTTCGCCTAGCCACTTCTCTTTGTGTAGTACTGTACTGGCTAACATATAGGGGACTTTTTCTGAGGTGGAACATTAAAGACATTTTGCTCCACTTGCAGTTGTAAAGTAGGGGAGCCCGGCATGCTTTTGCCCCCATCAGCCTCACCATTTAAAAATGATAGGCTAACCTTGTCCAAATTGCTGCTTTCCTCATGTCCAGTGAGTAAGAAAATCCTTAGGAAGAGACTGCAGTTGCAATGTTTTAGTTTAGAAGGAGAACACTGGGCAGAAAAGGAAGTCCTCTTTCCCTTTATCTAGGTAAGGAAATAATTCAGGTAAAATTTCAGTGCATGTGTACAGGACAAGTAGTGGAAGGGCAAATCCATATAGCTATATACTATATTTATACGTGTCCTTGTATTTAGCTTTAGGACCTTGAAGATGTTGTCACTGGAACTACTTTCTTTGAGCCACGGATCCTTATATAAAATGAGACTTTGAAAGATAGTGATGTCCTTAGATTTAATTCCTGATACATTTTGGATTAAAGAGATTTTGTAGGACTTCATTTTCTGCACCAGCTCCTGGTCTGGCACCTTGTTGATGCAGGGAATTTAGAGGCATATATTTTTCAAGCAGCCAGTTTGACAGACTTCTTTTATTACTGTTTTTGCTTTTGATAATATTTCAGATCTTTGCAAAGTTCACTGTTAGCAGTACTCATTTCAAAAAACCAGTCCCATTGAATCAAAAAGGTGGTATGAAATCGTTGCTCAACATTTTATATCAATTAAGGCCTATTCACATTTACCTGGGAATAAACTACACTGAAATTGAACTAACCTTTGAGCAGACAAGTTTCTGTGGGTTGTGTAAGTCTGCGTTCATACAACACAGTTCCCTGGGAATAAATGCCACTGATTTTTATGGCATTTCCTTTTGAATAGAAATGGATAGGAACACTCTGTAAACACATAGCACCAGATATTTTTCCTTAATTGAGGGAAAGTCCTGGTTAGATAAACTCTTAAATTTAGAGCAGCATTGGCAACTGTACCCTCCAGATATTTTTGAGTGTGTGTGGGAGGTGAAACTCTCAGAAAATCCTAGCCATCATTTCCAATGGTGAGGGATGATGGGAACTGCAGTCTATGGACATCCACATTTTTTCCTTCTGTACCATTTTTCACTTACTGTAATTAGAAAGATTAAAAAAGTGGAAAAGGTGGGAATATGCTCTCCTTGTTCTTCACTTTTCTGACAACTTTTCTGGCAACACCATTAAATATCTAGGTGCTTATTTTTAGAAAAATAATAACAGAGGTGGAACTGGAACATATAAAATAAAGGTAATGGTTCTCAAAACGTTCCTTCCTAAAGTTGCAAAAAAAAGAGAGGCTTGTAGATTATAAAGGGTCTAATAAGACCCTTTTAGAGTTGGAAGGGGGCGATAAAACCAAATCCCTGCTTAATGCAGGAATCCAACTTAAAGTATGTCTAACAGATAGTTGTCTAACTTTCTCTTGAATGCCTCCAGTGCTGGACTATTCTCCATCACCCAAGGTAATTGGTTCCATTGTAACACTGCTCTAAAGGAAGCTTTTCCTGTAATTTAACTGAAATCTGGTTTCCTGTAACTTGAGCCCATTATTGTGTGTCCTGCAGTCTGGGATGATCAAGAACTAATTCTGCCCCTCCTCTGTACAACAATCCTTTAAGTATTTGAAGAGTGCCATTGTATCTCCCTCCAGTCTTGTTTTCTTCAGGCTAAACATGTCCAACGCTTTCAGTCTTTCCTCATAGAACTTGGTTTCCAGTCTCCTGATCGTCCTTGTTGCCCTCCTCTGAATTTGTTCCAGTTTGTTGGCAACTTTCTTGAGGTTGCTTTGCTAAAGTCAAGATATATTGCATCTACAGCATTCCCACTGTCTACGAAGTGGGTTACTGGGTCAAAAAAAGGAGATATGATTTGTGTAGTAGGGTGTCTTTTTGGCTATGTTGGCTTCTAGGTACTGTTGCGTTGTTTTCAAAGTGCTTGTACACGGGTCACTTTATAATCTGTTTCAGATTGGCTAACTGGTTTGTAGTTCCAAAGTTCCTCCTCCTTGTCCTTTTTGAAGATAGGGACAACATTAGCTCTCTTCCAGTCATCTGGCAGTTCACCTATCCTCCATGTCTTCAAGAAAATAATAGACAGTAGTTCTGACAGTTCTTCAAGCCTGTTCCTTCAGTACTCTTGGACACAGTTAATCAGAACCTGGAGATATAAACTCATTAAAAGTAATGAGGTATTGACTTTCTGTTAATCAATCTCAAGCTGCAATCCTGCCCCCTTCACTTGTACTTCACATTTTCTAAGAGGGTCATTGACTCTCTTTTGGGAGAAAACTAAGCTAAAGTAGGAATTGAGCACATCTGTCTATTTTGGGGCATCTGTTATCATGATGGTTTCCCCACTGCATAGCTGAGCCACTATTTCTTTTCTGTTTTTTGCCACACATGTATGCGAATAACGCTTTTTCCCTTACTGTTAGGGTCTCTTGCTAGCCTCAGTTCATTTTTAGCTTTTGCTTTCCTTGCACCATTGCTGCCCTTCTTTGCTACTCTTCCTTTGTGGCCTGGCCTTGCTTCCACTTGCTATAGATGATATTTCTCTTTCTTTGTTTGTTTTCAGGTCCTCTCTGAGCTTTTTATGCTGTCACATTGATTGGTTTTGCTTTCTTCCACCTTTTTGTGTATGTTGGAATTGTTTGTGGTTTGTTTGTTCTCACACAGCAAACAAAGAAAATGTGAAAACAAAAATGTATCACAAGATGGCAACATTTGTTTTTTTCAAAGAGATGCAGGTGTTATATTTGAAATTGATTTTGAACATTTCTGTAAATGCACAAAATTTAAAGCTGTGATTTGTATTGCATCATTGTATGCACTAGTAAATACAAATTTTTTGAAACTTTATGGTGAATCACCCTGAAATTTTTTTTTTTTCTGGTGTGTTTTGTCTGCTTAGCTTCTTTATCGGAAGAGATGCTAGTTTTGCACACATTGCAGAAATATATGGAGAAATTTATGAATGATTTAAAATTATGATTGATTTCTTGGCCTTGCAGTGGAAGCTAGATCTTAAATTAGAGTTGGAAAGTTCTTGGCAGGTTGTATAAAACCTGTTCCAGGAGAAAAGGAACAGAGGAACGGTTAAAGTACCTCAGAACTGATCTTCAGCATTACTTTAATAGCGTTGTTGCCAAAGAGAGGACCACGTGGATATATGCTAAACAGCTCCCTCTGCACTATGATTCATGCAGTTTCATCCACGTTGCATAATGTTCTACTTCTAGAAAAGAAACTGGCCAAGCTATGAAAAGAACCATTCTGTGCAAACAGCTGCCTGTGTTGGAAAACACCTTGTTATTTCACCTTTACAGGGAGAACCAAGCTACAAATGAACAGTTTCAAAATTCCTGTGAAGGAATTCTTCACAATTCCTGTGAAGAATTGCCATTCCTTGGTGAATCTTCATGTAACTGTTACCTGAATAATTTTAATTATGATTATCAGGTTTATAATAGATGACAATTCACAATACTGTTATTGTAGTTTTGGAGATGGAGATAATGCTGCAGTTGAGAGCAGTTTGTTAAATCCACGCAGGCCCTTAGTTATAAAGGAGACCACAGAAACCTTGCATCTAAAATACCCCATCTGGCCTTCTCTTCTAGAGCCCAGACTCACTGGCTATTGATTTCCATGGGCTGTGCTTGCCCTCCTGGAACACATATTTATTTCCTGGTTGTGGAACTTATTAATGCATTGGCAAGTATTGTACCTCATCTGTTATTATTCATTTAACTATGCAGACCGCTCTTGTTATACTCACTATACCTAGAAACATTCCAGTACAAATGTCTGGCTATGATTCTAGCACTGGCGATATTTAATAGATGGCATAAATGATATTATCCAAACGAGGAATAAATAAATGTTTTAATCTTACACAAGTGAATATTCTGGTAATTTCGTCCACATGGGAAAATGTGTAATTATACCACTAGAAGATGTGTTATGGCTTTCAAAATTCCTATGTCAGATTACATGAGAATTTATGTCCATTACAATGCTGGTGACTGAGGTCAAATATTAGAGAGTATTTTTGTTTCTTTATTTTTGTTCTTTCCCCTGTTTCTAGGTTAGGGAAAACAGAACTGCATTGTTAAGTAACTTCCAAAGAGGTAATCATGTTAGTTTGGCTCAGCATGTATAGCAAAACCAAAACCAAAATATTGTGGCACCTTTCTGACTGAGAGATTTATTTCTGAGGAAGTGGATTGTAATTCCGACTACAAATGCTCACAGAGAATGAAATCTGTTAGTCTTTATGTATAAACAGTACTTTATGTTTATATTAATGATATTTTTTTATTTAAAAGCTTTATCGGTCCCAAAACATTTAGCACTTGAATAATTTGACTAATGTCTCTGAAAGGCATTAGGAAGTACATTTCTGGTTTCCTTTTCCTTTAGAATGAATCTGAGTCCTTAACATTTGGCTGTGAAGTAAACAACTTGATAGCAGCAGCTGGGTTTTTTTTTGGAGGGGATGTAAAAGAAAACAACTATAGGACTTGTATTGTGAAATCTCGGTTTCTGTATTGCATCCTGGAGTTTATGTAAGTCCGTCTGGAACAAAAAAAAATGCTTTGGATCTCATACCTTGAGTTTATCAGAAATGTGAAGATTTTTGAAATCCATTGAATACTCTCTTGTGTTTGTAATCATAATAATACCTGTTTTATGTGCTCATTGGTAAATGCTAAAAAAATGAATAGAAACCTATGGATTAGCCGCCTAGAGTGGACGAGTCGCCCAGATAGGCGGGGTATAAATCAAATAAATAATAATAATAATTGACTGGGAAGTCAAAAAGTGACTGCCCTATTTGTGTGCAAAAGATGTGCACATGCAGGACTTGACTAAGGAGTGAGGAAGCAGACAGGCACCCTTTTCACTGGCCAACAGTTAACTGAAAGTTCAAATTTTGCACTTTCCCTGCCTCCCACGTGGGTTTTTTTCAGTTCTTAACTCAAATCTAAGTATGTAAGTCAAGTCAGTATTTTCCTATGAGAGTGTTTCTTAAGTCAAAACGTTCTTAACTCGAGCCGTTCTTAAGTCAAGACCCCACTGTAAGTCCGTCTGGAACAAAAAAAAAATGCTTTGGATCTCATTCCTTGAGTTTATCAGAAATGTGAAGATTTTTGAAATCCATTGAATACTCTCTTGTTTGTAATCATAATAATACCTGTTTTATGTGCTATTGGTAAATGCTAAAAAATGAATAGAAACCTATGGATTAACTGGGAAGTCAGTTTAAAATTCTATGAGTCCTGAAAAATAGTTAATTACCACGTTAGTTCATTACAATTTTAAAGTAATTCTTTTGTGTTTTCAGAAAATAACTTTGATTTTTTTAAAAAAAATGTGAATTCCACAAGTCATTGCCCTGTGATATAAAATATACTCTTCACATAGAAAGAGAAGTGCTAGAATTAGATTCCACCTGTATATTTCATTGCATCTAGGTTTTGTACTCATGGTCTGCCACACTTCCCCCACTTTTATTATACTATATTACATTATATTGCATTTTATTGTATTGTATATGACATTTATATCTATTTATATCTCATTTTTCCTTGAAGCAGCTTAAAGAAGCATGTGAAGGTCTTCTACTCCTCACTTAATTTTCACAACAACCCTGTGAGGTAAGTCAAACTGAATGGCCCAAAGTTATATTGTGAATTTCATGGCAAAGTAGGGATTTTGAACCCAGCTTTCCCAAATTCAAGCCTGGTATACCCATTACACCACATTGGCTTCTTAGTTATAACCTTAGGCTTTCACCACTGTGATCACATTCTTCACTAACAGAGACTGATGTACTGCTGATGAGACCTCAAATGCAAGGATGCTGATGTACATGATCTCTGCTTCCCCTCCTCATAGTTTCGACACAGGCTTTAAGCATCTGTGCACATGATAAACATCTTAATAATCCTGATCTTAGAAACTGTATGTTTCTTTCTTTTCATGACTTCAAAGCATTATAGCTGCACAAGAATGCATCTGTGTCATTGTGCAGCAGAGCAAATCAACTTTCTACAAGGCAACTCTAAAAATAAGGGCAGCTCAAACAAAAAATTGTAACTTTGAAGCTGGGTATCAGATCAGGTCTAAATTTGGTTTTTGCTCTGTGCCAAATGTTGGGGAAGTATGAAGAAAAGGTTTTCAAGTTACAGTTTTTTAAAAGTAAAACTGTTTTACTTTCCATTCAGAAATAGGTGACCCCAAACAACCCCAGATTAAAACAGATCACATTAATTGAAAATACTAATTTTGCTTATATAAAAAGAGAATGGTTGATCCAACTGACTTTTTTTAATTTGGAAAAAATCCAGGCTGCAGGTGCTGAAATACTGATCCTCAAAACAGGCCTTTCAAAACTCTCCTTTATCCTCTCAAATTGTGGATGTGCTGTGCTCTGTTTCTGAGCATAAATAAACATTGGCCCTGAAGGAACATAGCTGAAACTTCTTTCTGAATATAGGTGACTGGGTTGCTTATGGCAAAACCTCTCGAAATACATCTAAACTATCCAATACCTTCCAGGTTCACAGACATGTATTTGAGTACATATAGTTAATCTGAAACACATTTCTTCTAAGCATTTTGATTACTTGGTGGCTGCAAGCAATAGAAACCTAGAGAACTTGTTGAAAAACAGGCCTTGGCTAACTGATGAAGAAAAGAAGTCAGGAAGAAAAGAGAGACCCCCCCCCCGCTTGGTGGCTGTTTGTGAATGGACTATCTTGACTGCTGCCTTTGGTGTCATCAGCATTGAGGATCTCCTTTGGTTTATGAAGTTTGGCATCCTTTTTCCTGCTGGCAATGCAGGCACAATATTGTGCAGAAATATGGGCCATTTTGAATCATGGACACAGAATCACAGTATCTCGCATTCATAAACTGGTATTGGGGCTTTTTCCTGCTGGCAATACAGGCACAATACTGTGACGAAATATGGGCTGTTTTGAATCATGGACACAGAAGCACAGTATCTCGCACTCATAAACTGGTGTTGGGTTTTTTTAAGAATTGAATTTTATATGGCACATGCTTTTTAAAAAAGAATTGAATTTTATATGGCATACACTTTCCAGATAACCTTTCACTGAATTCTGTAAACATGCTTTATTACTTTATGACTTCTATGTCAGAAATTATTTTATTTACATATTTGGGATGTACTTTTAGAATGTTCTAAAATATTAAGTGACATAATTACCTGTTCTAAAGAATTTATGTATATTGCTATGATTCACCAGTTGTAACCTTATTTGCCATTGCATCAACATTAGTTTATACTGCATTCTATCTAGATACTTCTAGGAAGCAGATAATTTTAAAATTCATAACAGAAGTGTTCTTTTGAATTAATGTGAATGACTTTGAAGCCTTTCCCATAATTTGATTAAAGCTGAATGTGCTTATTAGTATTCTGAAAATTACTTGAATACTAAAGATATCCAGTTCTTCTTCATAATGTGTCAATGTCTACGCTAAAAGCTATTTTATAAATTAAATAGCCTAATAAATTGTATTCCTCCTCTAAAACTGTGTCAGTTCCCATAACTGTTTTGCATGTAATGAACTTTACCTCAGCGGTTACACAGTCAACCTATTGTCTGCCGTAAGCTTAAAAAAATCCTAGATATTGCCTCTCTTGGCTGCTAGTGACAGGGCTATAATGTCATGAAATGTTTACAGACATTTTATTAGGAGAGAAAGAGGTCAGCAGTCAAACACTGACAAATCTGAACAGCTTCTGAGAGGGAAATGGAAGCCCACTGCTTGGCCGGGTAATATGAGGATTTGAAGGAATTGATCCATGTTCTTTGAGCAGAAAAGAAGGGAAAGAGATAGAAACCAAATTGTGTTGTAAATGTGGACAGCTGAAGGCTAATAAGCCAGGTATAGGGGCAAAAGGGAAAAGAATAAGGATCTAAACATGCGAAAGATAGTCTGTACTTGATTACAAAAGAAGGAAACCTAAGCTAGGAAGGCTGAGACAGGTTGTGTGTTGTCCATAGGAATGGGCCAGAAATAAGAGAGTCCAGTGTTGGAGAATATTGAGATAGGGAGCCAAGAGAAAAGGGCACTCTGAAAAGTCAGAGTGAAGATGAGAAACCAAAAATCAGAAATATTCTTTCAGTTCTTTGGCTACAGTTTCTGAGTCACATGTAAAGTTAACTAGGTGCATGATTTTATTTAAACAGCTGTATGGTGTCATTGCCAATAGTTATGATTTTCCAATCAGTTTAACAGCTTTACATGCATGTGAGCCAACATTTTTCAAGTCAGATATTGGGACTGAAGCCACAGTTTTATGCAGGCCTCTTTGTTCATTTTTGGTAGTTCAGTCAGTCCTATCGCAAATGAAATGGTGACCAAACGAGGTGTTTGTTGAGCTTATGACTGCGTAGAGAAGAACTAGAGTTCCATGCACAATGTGGTATTAATAAAAAAAAATCAGACCACTGCTTTGCTTGCAGATTTAAAAAACCACACAACCAAACCTGACATGTTTTCTAATGAGCTGTTTAACATCACATCTTGTTTGAATCTGAGACTTGCTAGCAAAGCAAGAATCAAGGTTATAGACAACTTCAAGTGCATATGCCATAGAGTTCAGCAAGACTGCACTATGCATACAGCTTTATTTGAGTTGTGAGTAACCTGTTTTTGGACTGCCATTCTAATCATCCTTGACTATTGACTATGATGGCTGATACTGATGAGAGTCCAACTTCATTAAGGGAGCCATAGAATTTCGCACTACCTACCTTATTTCAAGAAAGATACATTTGAATTAATACTGATTTTAGTACACATTTTCAAAAACCTTTTAAACTAATATTCATGGATAGCAGTAAACAAATTAATATATCATTGTTTGCATTGTTATTGAATATATCTAGAATAAATATGCTTCACAATTGCTGTTTCCTTTGCTGAAAGAAGTTATGTATTTGAAGTGTGACCTCTTTTACATGAAAGTAGGCCTTAATTTACAAAAGCTACATTACTTTATTTGCACAACATGGGAAAAAGAAAAATTAGATTATTCACTGGCGGTCATGGTAAATGAGAATGGAAATGGAATACATCTGGGCGTTAGAAGTAAGTGAGCACGTATGGTTTATGGGTTCAGCCCAAGTCAGATCCTGAAAACAGCAATATTTTTCTCTGCGGAAGACAAGCAGCTTTGATCACAAATCATTTATGCTTTGGATGCTGGGGAACTATAGAACGAGGGAGCCAAGAGGGAAGTGAAGCCAACAGGGAGAGCTGGGTAAAGAGCCAGGGATTATAGATAGTTTAGTGGCACTGAACTCTGGCTTGGCGAGGTCGTGGAGTCTCAGAAAGAGATGCTGGAAAGTTTCTCTCAAAGCCAGTCTTCAAAAAGAACCTTGGGGGCTATTAAAGACCTACCCGGAGGAAGAGTGACCTTTTCAGGCTCCATAATTCTTCTCCCATCTGGGTTAAAATCTGAGCAGGAGAATTATTGATGGCTTTCCCTGAACAATCATTTCTTCTCAATTGAATGGAATTGAGCAATGTTGCTTCATTCCATTCAGGAGGGGAAAATTAAGATTCTACAAGAGCTAAAGCCAATACCAGTCCTCCATAAAATTTGGCCTTTGTTAAACGCTTGGTTTTTTGCCCTTTCATTTTCCTGTACTATACCCATATAGATGCATGAAACAGCTTTGTTCCATAAGTTTCTATTGGAGTGGATGAGGGGAGGAATTCTCAGAAAAAATTGATGTCAAAGCGGATAAAAAGGTTTCCAAATTGACTCTACACTTTCTATACCCTTCCCTTTGCTTCAGAGTTAAGATGCCATATAGTAAAAGCAAAGCCAGTATTGCTGAAAGGGGAGGGGGGACAATTTTAACAAAATAGTTACTATGAGAGTGAGAGGGTGACATCAGGTGAAACAACACAAGTGACTATGGATTGAAGGAGGATTAAAAGTGATGCAGAGATCCAGTCACTGTTTCTGTTTCCCTTGAGAAAGGGCGCAACCTTTTTCAAGCCATTAAATGAGCTGGGTGGGCTGTCAAATTTGTCTGTTTCTCCACATTTTTCACAGAGAACTTTGCTTATTTCTGAATCCAACAGTAGTTTTGGAAACTAGTATCAAACTATTCTACTTGTTCTGTGGTACTATAATCCAGTATTGCATCTGAATTCCTTTTCGAAA